TGTATAAGAAAAACAAAATCTCCAAGTAACCTTGAAATAGTAAGTTTTATCTTAACACAAGTAGCTTAATAACAGGTTCAAAGCAGGCAGAAAACAAAATAAGTTGATAGCTTTAGAAAACTGCTTAACTTTATAGTTGTAGGCTAACCATTTAAACTCTGAATTTCCTTAGTGTAATTTTCCCATTAGTTAAAAATGTGCACAAAAACTGGCAATGATATATAATCAGCTGGACTCCCAGATAATCTAGGAAACAGTTCACACACTTCCCCCCTACATCTCCAAAGCTTGACAGTTACAGGAAATACTCTGGATTCCCAAAAAGGATGACAGAATCCCGGGCCAGGAGGTTGAAAACGTTTCTCCCTAAGTGAGGACAGGAGCAGCCTATCTTGCTGCCTCTGACAAGCAGATGGGACTGAGACTGGTTTTATTGGGTAGGACAGAGACTGTGCTAAATTATCCTTGGAGGGAGGGGTAACAGTAAACAGAGACGGAAACACAAACAAATCTGACGTAGATGGAGCACTCCAAATTGATCCTGAAGAGGGAAAAAGACTGGAGAAAAGTCCTGAGATCTTGTCTGAAACCCAGGTGTCACCACGGAGTGACCTGCATCCAGTCCAAATGTCGCAGAAGTCCACATGGCACCGCAGATGACCTATACCAGGTCCAGATGACAACAAAGCCCAGATGGTAGAGACAGAGGATTTCTGGGTGCACTCCAGTTGACTTACCCAGTCTTTTAAGTCCACTGACCTCTCAAATGCAAAAATCCCCAAGACAAAAGCAGTCTTGGTAACTGCTGGGAATTCCCTAAGGGGCCAGCCATGGGGTCAGTTAGGCATGAGAAGCTGGTGTTTGCAAGTAAACCCTGTCCTGCCTAACAGCATAAGTGGGTAGGCCCTGGTGCACTGCCACAGCCAACTGGAAACCAAGTGTACAGGTTGAGTCAATTGAAATACACAGTTCTTCACCTGGGGTACCAATTTGTAACTGGAATGGCCTTTGGCCATTCCCCAATGGTTAGCGTTTAAATGAAGTTGCTATCCTTTCACCACACCTTGCTTCTCCTGTATTTGGCCTCTGAGTACTGAGCAATGGGATTTGAGCCAGTCACACCATGACCATAAATGTATAAATATTCTTTAAGTCCCTACCTTCAGTTCTTCTGGGTAGACACACAGAAGTATAACAAGCGGAGGCATGAAGTTGAAGGGAGTTCTCAATTTCAGGCTGTCCCAACACTTCCACCTCATCCATCAATAAACCAATCTTTAATGTTGTTTTGTGAAAATTATACAAATTACCCAGGACCTCTTTTGCTTGTTCTGAATTATTTTCATTCTGGTCTAATTTCTATCTGTCTCCCGTTTCTTAGCTACATTTGCTCCTTACTATTTCACTCTTGCTCTTTGGGCCAGGAAGCAATTGTGGGTCTCACTAAACTTTATGCTTAACTCTCAGACTACCCTATTTACAATTCCTCTTCTGCTTCTTTTTGGGAATATACCCTACCCCAGTGATCCTTTGAGGACTGAAATGCCAAATCTGACCCACAAGGCAGTGTTCCTGCCACACTTACCTGAACTCTAGACTTGTACATTTTATTGCAAATTCTTCTTTGAATACCATGCCCATTGCTATAGCCATACCACACAGACAGGGTAACAGGCTTACTCTTGTCACTGAACATGAGAAATGCTACAGACGTATGGGAGTACAGGGATCTGAAAGTAGAAGGTGGCCCCATTGGCTCAATGACAGAGGCAAGGGCAGAGCTATTCTACTTTATCTGACCAGTACTACTCACATAGCTCCCTTGAGTCATGTCCACACACCTGTACCATATCTGTTAATGTCACCTCTGGAAAAAAAGTTTCAATAATTCAAAATGCAAATCTTTATAGAAACTTAGAATCTGTGGTCGGGAAGCATAGATGGAAAGCATTTCATGTCTCATACTGCATTTATTAAGTACCCTATTTTATTCCTTTCTCCTTTTCCATGTGGTAAGTTTTGAGCCCTCATCTGCCAATTAATGACTGGTTTTCTAGGACTTAGCATTGAAAAACCACAGGCCTTCATAATTATGGTGAAAGAAATATTAACAAGATAAGGAGAAATGTTTAGTCTTCTCCTGGAAGGTTAGTAAAACAGATACTAGTTTGTATCGTAAAATGCTCCTTGTAAATATTAATTTTAATTAAGAGTCGTATAAGACATGGTGACTTCAGAGAGATTATTGCTGTGGCCCCTGAAAGTAAACTTTAATATCTAAAATTCTGTAATTCTGGTTGGTTGTCTTAATAGTTTATTGCCCTGGTAATAATATTTTAATTGAGTTCCCTATTTTCTAAAACGTTTAAATGTACAGTATAGTAGATTGGATTTTGTTTCCCTCAAAGACATGTCCAAGCTATAACTACCAGTACCTGTGAATATGACCTTATTTGGAAAAAAGGTCTTTGCAGATATAATTAAGGAAAGGATCTCGAAATGAACTCATCCTGGATTAGAGTGGGCTGTAAATCCAATGACAGGTGTCCTTATGAAACAAAAGAAGAAGACACACAGGGACACACAGGGGAGAATATCATGTAAAGATGGAGGCAGAGACTGGAGTGGTGTGTCTATAAGCCAAAGAATGCCAAGGATTTCCTGCAGTCATCAGAAGCTAGGAAAGAGGCATGGAATGAATTCCCTCAGAAACTCCAAAGTAACCAACCTCGCTGATACCCTGATTTCAGACTTTTGATCTCTATAACTGTGAGAGAATAAATTTTTGTTGTTTTAAGCCACCCAGTGGTAATTTGTTGTAGCAATCCTAGGAAACTAATATGTACATATAGGGTTGATTTTTCTAAATGAAATCAGAAGAATATTGTTGGTACTGCCCTCTTCTCCTTCATTCATGGAATTTAAAAACAAATAAACAAAAGCTATTACTGGTAGATTTCTTCGGTAAACAAAAAAATCTATTCCCATTCAAATTAATAGGAGAGAATCCAAAAAACAGACATTATTTGTATTATGTCTTTGGAGGAGACAGCAAGATGGATGGTCCTAGTTATGAAAACCAAGATACCTCCTTCTGGGTTCCTAAAAATATTAGTAATAGAACTACCATTGATCTAGGATTCCCACTCTGGGTACATATCCAAAGGAAATGAATAGGAAAAGATACCTGCTGCAATAATATTCATTGCAGCATTATTCAAATTAGATAAGATGTGAAAACCTAAGTGTCCATCAGTGCCTGAAGGGTTAAATAAATTGTGCTATATACACAATGGAATATTATTCAATGATAAAAAGAAGGAAGTTCTGCCACTTGTGACAATATGGATGCACCAGGAAGACATTTTGATAAGTGAAATTGACAAGTCAGACACAGAAAGACAAATACTTATATGATCTCATTTATGTGTGAAATCTTAAAAAGACAAACTCGTAGAAGCAGAGAGGAGAAGGAGGGTTTGCAGGGTCTGGGTGGGTGGGGAAATGGGGAAATGTTAGTCAAAGAATATAAACTTTCAGTTATAAGATTAACAAGTTCTAGGGATCTAATGTAACAGCATGGATGAATGCATTAATTCATTTGATTATGGTTATCAGTACACAATATATACATATATCTGGTCATCATGTTGTACACCTTGAATACAGTTTGTCAGTATTTTAAAATTTAAAAAGTTAAAATTACACTGATTTTTAGGCATTAAAAAACCACAAACTTCTGGTGGGTTAGACACAGAACAAGGAAACTGCTTCCTGGGTAGAGTGGGAGGACAGATCAATGCAGTCCCTAAATCCTATTAACAATGGCAGAGTCACTATGGAATCAAAAGGTGGGTAGCTATACTTTTATTTTAATGGAACTGGCTGTTTGTCCATTTTACAAACATCTCTTCGTTCATTCCACTGGTCCTCATCTATTTTGCTCCAAATCTTTCACAAGCATGCTGACAAATTTTGATCAATATGTAAAAATGTATGCAGTGGAGTCACCAATTTAGTACATTGATGTGCAAAGAAACTCTAGCTGATTATCGGTAACAAATCTGCCTTTTCTTGTGAGCCCTTATACCCATCCCATTAGGTGATATGGGGAAACAACCCATAGCTTTTAATTGAATCTGATAAACTCGATCTGGTTAAGTAATTGAACAATCTCCTAAGATGAATAGAACTTTTATGTATGATTCAGTCTTTGAGATTTCCCCCTTTTCCCTGCTTTAATCTGTGATGGAGTGTGGATGTTTGGTGTTGGGGGTGAAGAGTGCTTCTCTGTCCCAGTGCAACCCTAGCCTTGTGCAGGTGTTGCTGGTCTGATTCCATTCCTGGGCTAGTTTGCTCCAACCTCTCTAGGCTCACTGAGGATCTGGCAGATCTCCCTGATCATACTGGCATTGTTGGTGGCAAAGATTGCATACCTCCCCAGAGCTGTAGCACCCATGTTGTCCCATGTTTAGGCAATGATCTTTGGAGTCCTCAGCTACTGGACCACTTTGGCACCTCCTGAAGTTGCAGTGAACTCCTCTGGTAAGATCCCTAGCCAAGTCCTCAGCTACCGTTCTCATCTCTGTAGAGCCCATGAGAAACTCCGTGTGTCTTCCATGCTGTTATCACCATTTTTCCTTTTATGTGGTGGCAGCAGCAGTGATTGTCATGGGGGTAACTGGCAAGGAGTCTTCCTCTTTTAATTAAAATGAGACACAGATTAGCAGACTTTTTGTTTAAAAAGAAATCTAGCTGAGTTGTTGGTTTTAGTTTCCCCCCATGCATGTGAGAGAAGCAGGAAGAGCCAACAGTCTTCTTTTGATTTGAAAAGGAAATGCCATAATACCTTTTTTGAGTAATAATTATACTGTTTTTACTAGGCAAATATAATGTTATTATCATTAAGCAATCAATGAGAGATGTAGATGACTTTTAAACATTGAAAGACCATTTTTTAAGAGAAGTTTTAGGTTCACAGCAAAACTGAGGAGAAAGAATAGAAAATTCCATATACTCCCTGTCATATAGGTAATTTTTAAAGATTAAAGTAGAATTTCTCAACTCCAGCATTATTGACACTTTAGACCTGACAATTCCTTGTTGTGGAGTCTGTTCTGTGCATTTAAAGTTGTTTAACACCATCTCTAGCCTCTGCTCACTAGATGCCAGTGGCACTTTTTTTTTTCTTTTTTTTTTTTGAGACAGAGTCTTATTCTGTCGCCAGGCACCAGGCTGGAGTGCAGTGGGGGGATCTTGGCTCACCGCAACCTCTGCCTCCAGGGTTCAAGCAATTCTCCTGCCTCAGCCTGCTGAGTAGCTGGGATTACAGGCACATGCCACCACGCCCAGCCAATTTTTGCATTTTTAGTAGAGACAGAGTTTCACCATGTTGGCCAGGATGGTCCCGATCTCTTGACCTCGTGATCCGCCCACCTCAGCCTCCCAAAGTGCTGGGATTACAGGCATGAGCCACTGTGCCAGGCCGCCAGTGGCACTTTCTACCAGCCATGACAATAAACATGTATCACAACACTGCCAAATATTTTCTAGTGGGTAAACAACCCCCATTAAAAAACCCCTAGGCTAAATATTACTTTCACACAGCCTTATAGTTTTAGTTTGTACATTTACGTTTCTTATCCATTTTGAATTATTTTTTGTACGTGAAGTGAGGTAGTCAGTTTGTTGCCAAATGAGTTATAAAAAAGCTTTGATTTTAATAAATTTTTGGATTTTGGAAATATATCTAAGAGTTTGTGAGCTTGTATTATTCTGTCCCCTGGTCATAGCTGGTCAGAGTAGACATGAACAAATCCCCTGTGCCAGAAAGATTGTCATTTTAAGGACTGCAGGTTATATCTATATTGAATAATGACACTTAGAATTGTCATATAGGTATTTTAGTCATTCTTTTAGTCTCGGAGATGTTGAGTATATTAGTCTGTTCTCACATTGCTATAAAGAACTACCTGAGACTGAGTAATTTATAAAGAAAAGAGGTTTAATTGGCTGATAGTTCTGCTGGCTATACAGGAAGCATGGCTGGGGAGGCCTCAGGAAACTTGCAATCACTGCAGAAGACAAAGAGGAAGGAGGCACGTCTTTCATGGCTGGAACAGGAGGAAGGGAGAGAAGGGGAACGTGCCACACACTTTTAAACAATCAGATTTTGTGAGAACTCACTCACTAGCATGAGAACAGCAGGAACATCTGCCCCCGTGATCCAGTCACCTCCCACCAGGCCCCTCCTCTAACATTGGGGATTACAATTTGACACGAGATTTGGGCAGGGATGCAAATCCAAACTATATCACTGAGTGACGAATAATACTATTTATTGTTTTGGGGAGGGCCCTGACACAGTGATAGAAAACAAATCGATATGCTTCCATTTTAGATAAATGTTTGGGTTAGTAGTATCAATTATGTGCATCTTTTGTCTACAACTTCATCTTTTACAGAACTGGCTGCCTACAAAGTTAATTGTTTTCTTCAAATTTCAGACTTAGGCTACTCTATGATAGACTATAATCATTATTTTCTTTGGGAATTGTATGTATCTTTGGTTTAAGTATTTGCTCAGGATGGGCACAATGGCTCATGCTTGTAATGTCAGCACTTTGGGGGGCCGAGGCAGGTGGATCACTTGAGGCCAGGAGTTCGAGACCAGCCTGGCCAACATGGTAAAACCCCATCTCTGCCAAAAATACAAAAATTATCTGGGCGTGGTGGTGTGTGTCTGTAGTCCCAGCTACTTGGGAGGCTGAGGCAGGAGAATCACTTGAATCTGAGAGGCAGAGTAAGCCAAGATTGCACCACTGTACTCCAGCCTGGGTAACAGAGTAGGACTTTGTCTAAAAAAGAAATGAACAAACAAAAAATTTCTCAAAACAGGTTGGGAGAACAGACCAGAAGAGAAGCATGCAGATCTGAGGTACTTTTCACTGTAATCTAGAAGACAATGTATGAAAAGGAACTATATTGTGTCTGTGATAGCAGTGTTTAAGCAGGACAGTCAGTGAACCACACATGGTCCTAGTTAAGGCTGAATAAATCAGCCTTTGGGAACTGTACTGTCAACTATAATGTATTGGCTTCTCGGAGCCAGGTTCCATATCATATTTTGCATGGGAGGAAATAGGAGTGCTTTCCTGAATACAATGCATGTTCCCACTGTCAATCATCCTCAAGGAAGAAATGTGGCCCATAGGTAGAGAAGGAGCGACTTTTCTCTGGCTGGATCTAGAGGAGAGAGAAACTATGGTTTGGGGAGGAAAAGATAGCTTGAAGGGACTCCTAACCTTGAGAGGGGAGCTGTATTCTGTAATACCATGACCAAATGAGGGTTAAAGAGAAAGATCCCTGACGGGAAACCCTCTGTGATAAAGTATGGCCAGTAGGTTCTACAGCAATGATAGCTGTGTATTGTTTTAAGTAATCATCGTTCCTGTGGTGTTGTAGTCCCTTCATCTTGAAGTCAGCAGTTAAATTTATAACAGCTAACATTTCCTGCACTTTGGGATTTTAGAGAGCTGTCCGTGTCTATACGTGGGGTAAGATGTTAAGGGGATATCTCTGGCAGAATGGAGAAATGATTTTGAGAGAGTAGGAAGAGATATTGTGAGACAAAGTGGTAGTCTGGAGTAAGAGACGGCAGGAAACAATAAGGATATGTTTGTGGAAGATGTAAACATTTCCCAGGGAATCTTAGAAATACTTAGGGAGTAGACAAAACTCCCTGAAGTTACATAAGATGAGGACTTAGACTGTGTTAACAGAACCTGGGCAACATAGAGAGACTCTGTCTCTACCAAATATTTAACAATTAGTTGGGTGTGGTGGTGCATGCTTCTGGTCCCAGCTACTAGGGAGGCTGAGGTGGGAGGATCGCTTAAGCCCAGGAAATTAAGGCCACAGTGAACTATGATCATGCCACTGCACTCTGCCTGGGTGGCAGAGTGAGACCCTGACTCAAAAAACAAAATAACAACAAAAAAGACTATGTTAACAGGACATTAAAGAGAAAAGCAAGACCCTTGATTCTGAAGTTGGGAGACATTTGAAGGTTATACTTGTAACCCAAAGACCCTTGACTAAGGCATACCAGAATATGTTAGTACCTTTTAGAGGGCAGAGATCTGGGGCAAACCCTTGATTTTCCAGCCTTGGCAGGGTTGACCTGAAAGTGAGGAGTGATGAGCTTCCCCTGATGCCACATCTTTAAGCTAGTCTGGCATACATGATGTCAGCTGTAGACAGTCTAATGCTGTTTGTGTCCTATCTTCTCCCCCTTTTCACTATTAGTTCTAATAGAGCTAACCCTATTTCCATCTGACTCTGATTCTTGGCTTCATCTCTTGTTTACATTCTGCTGTTCATTGGACCAGCATCCTTTTTGATCTTGCCTGTTGTATTCTTGGCCTTTTCCCGAGGAGTTGTCTCAGATCCATCTCAGGACTTCAGGTCTCAAAATCAAGTTGTGTTTGGGTTGATAAAAATTCTCTAAAATTAGATAGTGGTGATGGTTTTACACCTCTGAATATGCTAAAAACCACTGAAACATATACTTTATTATATATATATATATATATATACACACACACACACACACACACACACACACATTGAGGCAGAGTCTCACTCTGTTGCCCAGGCTGGAGTACAGTGGCATGATCTCGGCTCACTGCAACCGCCACCTCCTGGGTTCAAGCAATTCTCCTGTTTCAGCCTCCCAAGTAGCAGGGACTACAGGTTTGTGCTGCCATGCCTAGCTAATTTTTTGTATTTTTAGTAGAGATGGGGTTTCACCATGTTGGCCAAGCTGGTCTTGAACTCCTGATCTCAGATGATCCACCTAACTTGGCCTCCCAGAGTGCTGGGATTACAGGCATGAGCCACCACATCCGGTCTGAAACATATACTTTAAATGTTTGAATTTCATAATATGTGAATATGTAAGTGTGGTATTTGAGTAAAAGTGTTAAAAACATTAAGCTCTGGATCACTGGCCAGTGAACAATAAAAATAATAGTAGTTGATATTTATATAGCATTCACTGTATACAATATGATCTAAACTCTTCATTTATAATTCTCACAACAACTCTATGAGGCAGATATTATTATCCCTACATTTACAGAGAAGAAACATGAGATACAGTGAAGTCGTGTGATTTTCTCTAGGTCTTACAGCTTATATGTGCACAGAGCCAAGTGAAGAGTAGGGAGTCTGGCTTCAAAATCAGCTCTCTTTACCATTGTGCTATAGTGTGCTGTTAGGAAAGCATGGGGAGTTAAGTGTGTCAGTTTTACAAATCGAAAAATGAGATAAAGTTAGGTGCTAGGGATAACAGTAGGAGCAGTCATTGAATGATGAGAAGCATAGTATGGAGCAATAAATCCCACTTCTTTAGGGCAGGGAAAGAAGGTGTGGCCATTTTTGCAATCTGCTGTAGAAGGAGAGGTAACAATGGTTAAAGAATAATGAGGGATGTTAAGGGTCTAACTAAAATTACAAATTACACTTTTGTGATAACACATACCGTGCTTCTCAGAGTAGGATATTTGAAATAATAATAAAAGCAGAGATTTAAAAAACAGTTACATGTGAACAAGGAAGCTACTCAGGAGACTGAGAAGGGAGGATCATTTGAGCCCAGGAGTTTACTGCAGAGCTATGATCCTGCCACTGCAGTCCAACCTAGGTGACAGAGGGAGATCCTGTCTCAATAAAAATAAAAATAAAAAAAAGGAGAGAAAGAGAATAGGACAGTAAAACATGCCATTAAAACATAGACTTCTGCTTCCAGCCTTCAGCCAAAACGGAGTAATCAGGACCAGATTTATCCTCCTGCCTGCTTGACTGTTTTGAACCAACTAAAAAATTGCACAAAATATATGTTCAGCAATGATTTTCAAGGCAGTGGGTGTCAGGTAGCACTGGAAAGTGATTCTGAGAGAGGGGAAACAAACAAGGTGACTTTGTTTTTTGTGACTGCCCAATTGACAACCTAGAGAGAGATTCCAGGCACAGCATGGAGAGGAGCTACACGTTAGAGTTCCAGAGAGGAAAGCTTCAGTGAGACCAAGACAGAAAGCAAGAGTAAGTGAGAGAGAAAGACAGAGAGAGAGAGCGCTCTGGAGATATGGACAGAGCTGGGTTTGGGGTGAGGCAAGGGAGATACCTAGACAACAAGCTGTAAGGAGACATTCATATTTGGGTACTTGCTGAGCACAAGCATGTGAGAAAACTGCATGAGGCTGGGCAAAGACCACCTAAAATGATTAGAGGAAACCATATTTAAATTCTTGAATCAGAGGCTAAGGGAAGTGTATTACTCTTGTAAACCAAAAATAAAATTCTAAGCTCCCTACCATCTGAATGGACCCTCCTCTCAGCAAGGACATTCTAAAGTTAACCTGAAAAGCCAGTTCAGGCCATGATTGTAAGGGGAAGCCAGACATGCCACATTATATCGTTTTCCCTTTTGAATTTACTGATAGAACACATTCCGTAAGTCTGATAAGAAACATTTAACAGTTTATTCTTTGTGAAGCCTGCTTTCTGGATGCCTCATCTGCATGATAAACCTTGGTTTCCAGAACCCCTTAGCATAAGGCAGACATTCTTTTCTATTGATAATAACTCTTTCAACCAGCTGCCAATCAGAAAATCTTTAAATCTACCTGTGACCTGGAAGCCCCTGCTTTGAGTTGTCCCACCTTTCTGGACCAAACCAATGTACATCTTACATGTATTGATTGATGTCTCATGTATTCCTAAAATATATAAAACCAAGCTGTACCCTGACCACCTTGGGCACATGTCATTAGGATCTCCTGGCGCTGTTGCAGGTGTGTCCTTAACCCTTGCTAAATAAACTTCCTAAACTGATTGAGACCTGTCTTAGATACTTTTAGTTTACACTCTCTACAGTGGCACTAGCCAGAGTATCAGCACTTCTGCACGGATTCCTCAATCCATAATTCCCAGAGGATGATGTAAAGTGGGGCTAGGTGACACGAGCACATGTAGTGGGTTTGTGACAGGAGAGAAATCCAGAACTTAGAAGACCTGAATCTTTCCTAAGGCTAGTGAGCATGCCTCTTTTTGGTATGGAGGGAGACACTATCTCATCTTTGAAGGACGTTTGCTATTCAAACATCTTTGAAAAGATAGTATGAATAAAGGAAAGTAAGTGTAGCAATGTGTAAGATACTTGGAGAATTGTCTCTCAACAATTACCTTCCTATAATATTACAAATATACACTATTCCCTTATGGGAATTGTAAACTCAAAGGGCCAAGGTGAGGGGCAGGGTGCGTACAGGTAACGTAAATACGTTTTTGAGCTAAATGCTAATAATAGGGAATGGCAGGCTCTGTGGTGAAGATTAATTCAAGAGAGAATGCTCCTCCCTATCCAATTCCCTGAAGACATTTAAAATATTTTTAAATAATAATGTTTGTCAAAACTATGGTCACAGTTCACACTCAGTGATTAGCATGACCCTTTCCTTAAACATTTGTATTGTATACCCGCTACAAGAATCTTGAAAAAATATGTATCTACTTATAATTTTTTTTTTTTTTGAGACAGGGCCTCACTGTGTTGTCCAGGCTGGAGTGCAGTGGTGCCATCATAGCTCACTGCAGCCTCAACCTCCTGGGCTCAAGCAATCCTCCCTCTTCAGCCTTCTAAGTAGCTGGGAGTATAGACATGTGCCACCATGTGTGGCCAATTTTAAAAATTTTCTTGAAGAGACGAGATCTCGCTACGTTGACCAACCTGTTCTTGAGCTCCTGACCAGAAGTCAACCTTCTACCCCAGACTCCCAAAGTGCTGGGATTATAGGCATTAGCCACTGTACCTGACATCTACTGATAATTTTTAAGTTGTCCTCAATGATTTTTCAGCAGACATTTAAATAAGTTTAATTTTTGTTAATATTAAGTAGAATATAAGCATTTTATGAGAATTGACCAGCTAGAATAAACATTTAATTATATGATTTGATAAATTTGGTTTTAATGTCTAATTGAATACAACATACCATGTATCTACAGATTTTAGTCAGTGCATCTGAAAAAATTTGGGAGTCCTACAAAATATTCCATTTATATTGAAAAGAATAATCCTGACATATGTACTTGCTTTATCGGTTCTGAATTCATGTGCAATGTAGACCAAAATGCCCACTACTTCTTTTTTTTTTTGAGACAGAGTCTCAGTCTGTTGCCCAGGAGTACAGTGGTGCAATCTTGGCTCACTGTAACCTCCACCTCCTGGGTTCAAGCGATTCTCCTGCCTTAACCTCCCAAGTAGCTGAGACTACAGGCGCCCTGCCACCATACCCAGCTAATTTTTGCACTTTTAGTACAGACGGGATTTCACTATGTTGGCTACGCTGGTCTTGAACTCCTGACCTTGCGATCCACCCACCTCGGCCTCCCAAAGTGCTGGGATTACCGTGCCTTGCCCAAAATGCCCATTCTCTAACGCCAAGCCTTATAAAAAGATAAAAGCCCAAAATGCTGGGATTATCATGCCTGGCCCAAAATGCCCACTCTCTAATGCTAAGCCTTATAAAAAATGTAGAAAGCCCTATGGATTAGTGTGCTCTGTTTCATTGTTAAGGGAGATTTCTTCCAAACCAGTATTTTCATGTATGCTGTTGTTTGATACTCTGGAGGCATAACCCAGGGGAAAGTACCATGTTAAGATTTGGGTTGGATGAGAGGTATGCATTTATTTTGGAAAGTAGCAGAAAGACTTTTATCAATATAAGTGTATTCTTAGGCAGATCAATTGTAGAAAAAGGTTTCTTGTGGATCTAGAGGTTGATTTCTCAAAAACATCATTGGATGATGTAAGAAAGCTTTCTTGTGTTTCCAGGGGTACCAGTATCCCAGTTTGGAGACTGCTGTCTTACATTGTGTCCCCAAGAACATGCTTTTTTTTGTGAACAAATTCACTGGCTATCTGGATTCTTCAAACATATTTTCCATTTTCTTCCCTTTTTTGAAGCTTGGCTTTCCTTTGATTATAGTCCCTTTGAATACTCTAAAAAGGAGGTTGCTGTCTCTTGGTCTCTCAAAGTCTCATAGTTCCAGGAGATGAGACAATCTAATTGGGTCACTAATCTGACATTTTCATTCTTGCATTTCAGTCTGAGATCCCTTATGGGCCAACTCAGATGTCTCTCATTCTTCAGATCTCAGCTCAAGCATCCTTCACCAGGGAAGCCTTCTATAACCCTTCAGTTTTGGTTAGATTCCTTTATTACATACTGTCATAAAGTTGTGTTTTTTAAAAACACTTATTTCATTTAAAATTACATATTCATTAGGGTGATTATGAGATTACTTTCTCTTTTCCCACAAGGCAGTCATTTCCAGTAGAGACGACATTTTTTTTCTACTATTGATCCTTGGCACCTGCAGAATGCCTAAAAAGTAGCAGGTACTCAATAAATATACAGAATGAATGAATGGTGTTCTTTGGACCATCTGATCAAATACTCTTATCTTGAATTTGAAAGCTCCCAAATTTGATTCTGATAGCCAGCCAGATTTAGGGATCATTGCTGTGACAGGCGATAGAGGGTCCTGCTTCATACCCTGGGCTGGGTCAACATGTGGAAATACAACAGAAGAAAAGCCAAGTACCAGTTATTAGTTGCTGTGTCTTCCAACATTGTTAGTTGCTAGCTGTAGAAATAAATTCTGGTGGGTTTGGGTAAAGGAACATTTATTTTAAGGATATTGGGTTGCCTACAGAATTACTAGGAAGACTGGAGAATCAGGTTATACTTGTGCAACCTTGGGCAACATTCAAAATCATGTTGCACGTTGGGCTCTGTGGCTCATGCCTGTAATGCCAACACTATGGGAGGCCAAGGCAGGCAGATTACCCGAGGTCAGGAGTTCAAGATAAGCCTGGCCAACATGGTGAAACCCCGTCTCTACTAAGAATACAAAAATTGGCCAGGCGTGGTGGCACACGCCTGTAATCCCAGCTACTCTGAAGACTGAGGCAGGATAATTGCTTGAACCTGGGAGGCAGAGGTTGCAGTGAGCTGAGATCAAGCCATTGCACTCCAGCCTGGCCAACAGAGTGAGACTCTGTCTCAGAAAAAAAAAATAATGTTGCAGAGCTGGTCTAGTGAGGACATTGCAACCACTATCCACATCACTAGATGCTTCAGCTTACTCTGCAGGCAGTGTTAGAAAACATCTGCTGTAGTTGTTCCAGGAACTTTATTTGCAATTGTAGCTACTACTACAGAGAGAATTTTGTGCAAGTTTTTACCACTGGACAGAGTTGGGGGGGTGCAGTTTGAGCAGTTGAGCTTAAATCATGGGATGGGCCTATGCTGTAGCTTCAAGGAAGGATAGAAAAGTCACATTTTTAGCTTTCATAGTGGAGGCTGGGCTCTGTCCTACCAAGAATCATAAGGTGAGGGAATTTTACAAACAATGAAGTTTCAGATAGTAGGTAGCTAGAAAGTATGATAGATGTCAGTTACAACTGTTACTTGTGGCTGTGCTATTTCTCTCCTTCCTATGCCCTCATAGTTCTTTGTTTGCATAGTACTTATCATGCTTTATTCTGTATAGAGTTACTTATACACATGTCTTCCCACCTGGAAAGGGCTTATGTTGCATTCATCTCTGTGTTCCTTTAGTGGCCAGTGAAGTGTCTGGGGTGTAGTCATGTGGCAACAGGTCTGGGGTAGTCATTAGTAGTTGTTGAGAATCTACTATTGAGGACTGCTGCGAATGGCTGTAAATTGAACTAAATTAAATTTGTCACTGGGGGTCTGCTATCTCAATATTCTGATCTGAAAGTTCTTGAATCTAGAGTTCTTATGCAGTGCATAATAAATCAGTTATTGGTACTACAAATTCTGTAACCTTTTTTCTTCTTTCTTTTTTTTTTGAGATAGGGTTTCATTCTGTTACATAGGTTGGAGTACAGTGGCGTGATCTTGGCTTACTGCAGCCTCTGCTTCCCAGGCTCAAGTGACCTTCCTACCTTAGCTTCCTGAGTAGCTGGGACCATGGGTACATGCCACCATGCCTGGCTAATTTTTGTGTTCTATAAACTTGAAATACTGAAGACTAAATGACAATTGTAGTGAATATTTCTAAAATAATCCCCTGACACTTAAGTTACACCAACCATAAGCAAATAGGATTATATTAATTGACACTAAAATAACTATGAACACCTGTTTATACTAATTACATTTATTCTTTTTAGGCTAAAGAGAATGGGTCAATTTTTCACTCTAATTTTTAGTGTTTCATTTCAGCTTGATAAAATACTTAAATGTGTATTCCAAGTGAAAAATGAGGTTGTTAAAAGTTAATGCTTTGGTGCTTTTAATAACTATCAGAGCCATTTTCACATCTTGTCAAAATGATACAAGTTTATTCTTGTAGAACCCAAAGAGTTCCTAACAAAGAATGACTTGATTAGGAAGAGCTCTGGAGTGCAGTTCCTAGCGAGAACAACGCAGAGGGTAAGTGAACACTGCATTTCAAAAGAGTTGTTACTGCCCACAGACCAGTAGATTCCTGGGCTGAAAAGCACCATGAGTTTCCAGCACGGCTGTTTCAGCTGGCCTCCACACAAAAACCCACACAAATCTGGGCGGCTGTTTCAACTGGCACCTGGGAGACAGAGCCACCCATTCAACTGAAAAAAAAGGGAGCTGGGGGAGCCAGGAGATCTGGCTCCGTGGGTCCCACCCATACAAAGACCAGCAATCTGAAATGCTCTGGATTGAGAGTTTCACAGCAAGCGCACCTGGACCCAGAACTGTCCAGTTCTGTTGGGGGATGGGAATCCACCATTACCGAGGCAGTCTGCCATTACCGAGGCAGTGCGTCATTACTGAGGCAGACCGCCATTACTGAGG